GATAGGGATAGGGATAGAATAGGGACAGGGATAGGGATAGGGATAAAATGGACTGGCCTGGCCTGGCCTGGCCTGGATAGGGATAGGGATAGGGATAGAATAGGGACAGGGATAGGGATAGGGATAAAATGGACTGGCCTGGCCTGGCCTGGCCTGGATAGGGATAGGGATAGGGATAGGGATAGGGATAGGGATAGGGATAGGGATAGAATAGGGATAGGGATAGAGATAAAATGGACTGGAATAGAATAGAATAGAATAGAATAGAATAGAATAGAATAGAATAGAATAGAATGAATTAGTGAGTTCAAGTCCTGTCTTACGAATGAAAGCTGGCTGGGTGACTCTGGGGCACTCTCTCTCTCAGACCAACGCGCCTCACAGGGCTATTGTTATGGGGAAAAGAAGAAAAGGAGTATACACACGTTCACTGCCTTGAGTTATTTGTAAAAGTAATGAAGGTGAAATAGACAGACAGATAGACAGACAGACATATAGATCAATACATTAAGACAGACATAATAGAAGACGTATAGGTGGATGGATGGATGGATGGATAGATAGGAAGGAAGGAAGAAAAGTAGAGGGGAAAGGAGGAAAGGGGAAGGAAGGAAGGAAGGAAGGAAGGAAGGAAGGAAGGAAGGAAGAAAAAGAAAGAAGCAATACAACTTCAAAAGGATGCAAGATTAATCCACATGTTCCTTCAGATCTCTCTTATAGTCATCTCTGAGTGTATTGCTCCAGCCTGGTATTAATCATTTCCCGCTTTTCATTATAAATCATGTGCAAGGAGCATTGCTGTGCCACCAGCATTAATAAGCAGGGGAATGGAGGGAGCAAAATATTAAAGGTAATGTTGTATACCTCTTTCTTTCTCCCTCCCTCCCACCTTCTCTCTCGCCTTCTCTCCGTCCCTCCCCCTCCCTCTTTCTCTTTCTCTCTCCCCTCCCTTTCTCCCTCTTCCCTCCTTCCCTCCTCCTTCTCTCTCTCCCTTCCTCCCTCTCTCTTTCCCTTTCTCCCTTTCCCTCTCCCTTCCTCCTTTTCTTTCCCTCTCTCCCTTTCTCCCTCCCTCTCTCTTTCTCTGTTTCTCTTTCTCTCTCTGTCTCCCCCCCCCTTTCTCGCTCTCTTTTCATAAGCTGTTCTGGCTTATTAGCTTCTTCTGCTCCCGGGGTCTGGTGCAGGAAACGAAGACGTTAAATCTTAATTGAAACTACCTTCCTTCCAAAGGTTCAGTGGAAACAATTAAACCTTGCAGCCATGACTCAAGGGAACACTACAGCATTTTGATTCATGGCGAAACAAAGGAGCTACTTAGGTGTCACACAACAGTTACACTATTCATCCCAGAGAGTGACCACAGGAGAAACATGGGCTGGATTGCCAACCGTGATTCTATTAGGTATGACAAGCTGTGAAAAAACCTAGAAATGTAGATTGGCCGAATGGCCATCACAGTGCTTATAGGTAGAGGCTGGGATTGCTACCAGAATCAAAAGGAATTAGGCTTATACAAAGTGCTATGTTAGAGGGTAGCTTGTGTTGGCATACATCACACTCCACACCACAAAGGAGCCGGTACAATAAAAGGAAAAGGAGGAGGAGNGAATGATAAGGACATGTGTGCGAGGGGAACCTTTACCTTTACCTTACTGTTTTAACAGCCCTCTCTAAGCGGTTTTACAGAGTCAGCCTCTTGCCCCCAACAATGTGGGTGCCCATTTTATCCACCTTGGAAGGACGGAAGGCTGAGTCAACCTTGAGCCGGTGAGATTTGAACTGCCGAACTGCAGCTAGCAATCAGCTGAAGTAGCCTGCAGTACTGCACTCTAATCACTGCGCCACCTCGGCTCCTGTAAATTGTAAAATCTCATTCCATCAATTAAAGGGCTAGAATCCTTCATTTTATAGAAGTGTTTGTTCTTGGAATCATAGAAGCTGACAGTAACTTTATACCTAGAATAAGACTAACTATTAAAGCAAAAACAACAATAACAATACCCGATCAAGGAACTACCAAGGAGAAAACAATACCTCCACCCATGCCAGCAAGGCAAGCTACTGTATATAAACAGGGAGCAAACCCCACTCACTCACTAGGACTGATGATGGTATCCTGGTTGGATAATGAAATGTCTGCTAGAAATCAGTCAAGCGCAGAGAGCACCAAGGACCCCACAATCTTTCTCATCCTCCTCTCTGGTAGCCCCACTCCCTTCATCACTGATGATGCTACCTAGTTGGGTCATGAGATGTCTGCAAGAAAACCACAAAGCTCAGAGAGCAAAAGGACCTTACAGTACTCCTCCTAGTCCTCCCCTTCTCCTTCTCCTCCACAAACCCTTACTCCCTTCTAGCACTGATGGTGTTGCCTAGTTGGGTCATGAAACGTTTACAAGAAATAACTAAGCTCAGAGAGCACCAAAGACCCCAGAGTTGAACCATGTTCTCTTCTACTGAAACTATGTTTTGATCAAAACATCAGATTTGGGGGGGAGGGAATGGTAAGGGGGGGGGAGAAATCAGCCTCCAACTACTCTGTAGCCACCAACATTATATTAGAAAAGCATAACAGTTCTTTCAAGACAAGGAGACATATTTTTGCTTTTCCTTCCCACCATTGGAAGTGTTCCAACCTCTGTGTTGACTAAATGCCAGGCCATGTTGTCTATTTTGTCTGCAACGCTGGCATTCTTTGGCCCAATCCCATTCTCTCCCCCCCGCCTCACACACTCTCTCTGGCACACATACTCTCTCCCCCTCTCTCTTTCTATTCTATTCTCTATTCTATTCTATTCTCTATTCTATTCTCTATTCTATTCTCTATTCTATTCTCTATTCTATTCTCTCTATTCTATTCTACTCTATTCTATTCTTTCATATTTCTATTCTCTATTCTATTCTATTTCATTCTATTCTCTATTCTATTCTATTCTTTCATATTTATATTCTATTCTCTATTCTATTCTATTTCATTCTATTCTCTATTCTATTCTATTCTTTCATATTTATATTCTATTCTCTATTCTATTCTATTTCATTCTATTCTCTATTCTATTCTATTTCATTCTACTCTATTCTTTCATATTTCTATACTATTCTTTCATATTTCTATTCTATATTCTAGTCTATTTCATTCTATTCTCTATTCTATTCTATTTCATTCTACTCTATTCTTTCATATTTCTATACTATTCTTTCATATTTCTATTCTATATTCTAGTCTATTT